TGGTTCTGATAGCTTGGTGATGTGTGAATAGGATTCGAAGAGTTTTCAATGGTTTCTACCACGGTTCAAGGAGTATATTTCCTACCGACATGAAGAATACGTGCGTATTGGGATTCTCTCCGCGACATGATCAAATGGAAGGTTTATGACTGATCGGATGTGAATTCTGCTTGTGACTCAGAGTTGATTATGAGAATCTTGTACTCTTCACAGGATGTCATGGTAGATGCGGTGAGTTGTGTGGGATTGAGATTTGCAAGTACAAAGTCACAGGTCAGTTTGGAAGGGAAGGACATAAATTTGTAGGCAGCATATACGGTTTCAAATGACTAGGTAAATGATATTATTATTTGGTATGGCTTGATGAGAGTATACATTTTAGAAGGGGCAATGTGTTTTGATGTATGGATACCTCACTGTACTGCAACACTCTCCTGGTTGATCAACTATTGATATTCAAATTTTCTATGTGGCACGGAAGAATTTTAGAAGTATTCTTCGTGGGATGATCGTGTATGAGAGATGTGTTAGGCATTCTGGCGGTAGAGTTGGGATCAGATAGGGTGATTCATGTGTTCTATGAATTTGAAGACTGGGAGTTCTCAGGAGCGGATTATTTCATGGTTGTGGACTGTGAAGTCATGGCTGAAGCTAGCCAGATGATAGTATATGTTATGATTCAGTAATTGAGGGCTTTCAGAGGTTTATTAATCTATTTGTGGGTGCCCGGAGATGATTGGGGGTCCATTGGTAGGCCCAATTAGGATGTATATTCTACACCGAGTCGAATTGGTTGGCTCCGTAGTGCTATTGTTGAGGGATGTGCCATTCGGTATTGCTGAGCTTATTTGTGTTCTGAAATTTTCTGTGAGTTACTCTTCTATGCTACGAGGAGTTGTGATTCATTGGTTTTAGGCACACATGGTGAGGTTCTATTGTGGTCTTATAGCGGAAATTGAGCGAGATGAGTAATTGGGTATTGCATGATTGAGGGCATATTTGTTATGTTCTTTCGGGTGTGGTGTGGCATTGTGTCATCTGATTCTCCGTGGTTATGGTAATGCACTTTGGGTACTTGGTGTCGTATTTCACGTGATTATTGATTTTGAGCAGGGTGGCTCGAGGTATATGATATGGACCAGCGTTTGGATGGAGTCGCGCATTGCATCAGAGTTATACGGTATGCGATAGGTTCTTAGCATTTCATTATGGCAGTACCCGTTGAGCTTACAGGACGGTTCTCTTGATTGAATCATTTTTATGATTGAATACATTTGGATTGTTGCTTATTGGTGCATGGATTGCACGGTTTGTGGTTCTGAGTAGTATTGGTGTTGCGTGTTAGTAGAGTAGTGGGTATTCGATAAGATGGAGTCGTCGGATCTAGGATGGGTTCTATCGAATTTGATTGCTGTAAATTTGGAAGGATAATATCGGAAGTCAGCTTAGGAATTGGCTATAGTTCTTGTTGAAGGATAGGGAGCCTCATGGCTTAATGATTTGATGAATGGTTATGAGTTTTTGTGTGTTCTTTCAATATCGGCAGTGTACAAAGGTTTTAGGATGAGGTTGAGGTTTATTACCGTAACTGGGTTGTTTTGAGCAGCTACTGTGATCGGATATTTTGCTATGGGTATTTGAGTTATGTGGTATATCCTGTGATTATAGCTTGGGTTATGGTTGCGGTTTGGTATAACTTGTTCAGAATTATACGGTGTGCAGGTTGCGAGATTCAGATCTTATAAGAAATTTCGGGTGTTGGAAATTGGATTCTAAGGCTTGTGGGCTATGTTGAATTGAGAAATTTTAGTTATGTTGTGTTATGGGACATGTATGGGATAGGGTGACATGGGATCATCCTCGGGTATATGCATGGTAAGGTTATATGGTGGTTTGATGGTTTTGGGAACAACTCTTGACACGTTCGAGGAAGAACGTATGTTTAAGTGGGGGAGAATGTAACGACCCGACCAGTCGTTTTGAGCATTTTCACTTCGCTCGGTAGTTTGGGGGTACGAGTAGCTCCGTATAATGTATTAGGACTTGTGTGCAAAATTTGAGTTCATTCCGAGTTGATTTGATATGTTTCGGCGTGAGTTTTTGGAAATCAAAAGTTCATTAAGTTTGATTTGAGGTGCGTTTCATCGTTTTGATGTTGTTATGTGTGATTTGAGGCCTCGAGTAAGTCCGTGTTATGTTATGGGACTTTTTGGTATGTTCGTATGGGGTTCTGAGGGGCTCGGGTGAGTTTCGGATAGGTTTGGGTTGTGGTGCGCTCGTTTTTCTTATGTTTCGATGTCATTTCTTCAAGCATAAATGATATCATATTGAACAAATGAGCACCAATTTCTGCTTTGATTGAAGTATTAGATCCGTATCATAATTACGGACCCGTAGCAAAAATAATCGTCGAATTTGGACATCGTATGAGGTTTTATGGTCATTTTACTAAACATTGGGTTGCCAGATTTGTGAGATTAATTACGCAATTACCACTGACTTCATATTTAAAAATCTGCACATTTCCAAATATTGAAACCAACATATCTCCTTCATTATAAGGTCAAATGGAGTGATTCAAAAGCCTAACTTGACTGAAATGTCACAAGGAATCCATTAGAGGCATCAAGAGAAAGTTTTTGAATCATTTGTCATGCAAAACGAGACAGAACAACTGGGCAAAAATACTTAATATCGAAGGTTTATTCATTTGGTCATATTATGAGTTGGGGAGCTCGGATTTGGACAAACTTTGGAGGTTCTTTTCACCATATGGATTGGGATAAGTGTTCTATACTCGATTTTGATTATATTGCATGAATTTATCTTCGTTTTTGACATTTGATTGATGATTTCAAAGTGAAATTTGGGGGTTTTGTCTAAAATTTCATAAAAGTGAATTTTTGAGTTTTGAATATCGATTCGGAGTCGGATTTGAGTGAAAGTAGTATGGCTGGACTCGTAATTGAATGAGTTGTCGGATTTTGTGAGTTTTGTTGGATTCCGAGGCACGGGTCCGGGTTTGACTTTGTTGTCCATTTTGGGATTTTGATTAAAGATTCGACCTTTATCGATTGGGTTTATTTTCTTTTGCATTATTTGATGTATTTGAGTTGCTTTTGGCTAGTTTCGAGCCATTCGGATGGTCGTTATGGGATTGTATTTTTTGGAGTATCATTTGGCTTGCTGGGTATTGGATTTGGCTTGTTCGAGGTAAGTAACTCTTCTAAACTTAGTGCTGAGGGTATGAATTCCCGCAATACGTATTATATGATTGGTATTGAGGTGACGCACATGCTAGGTGACGGGCGTGTGGGCGTGCACCATGTGAATTGGGACTCTGTTGCTTCCATGGCATTGTGTAGTGGCCCTAGTTTGTTGATATTTGTGTTTTCACTATACGATAAAGTAATTGAGCTATCAATCATGCTAAATATCATATTTAGGCTTCATGCTGATGTTGTTAGGACCCATAGTGGTCGTTTCTTGCTGTCATCTCACTGATTTCATTGATATTTCGTACTCAGTCATAATCATGCATTCATATCATATCTCAGTCTCAGTTGTTGTTATTGATACATCATATCATTGTTGTCGGGTTAGTTTTCATGACATTGTGAGCCTGTGAGTGAGACTAGAGAGAGTGATGACTGAGTGAGGCCGATGGCCTGAGTGATAGTGATATTTTGGGAAAGGGCTACATGCCGCAGCATATTATATTATACATTTTGGGATCGGGCTGCATGTCGCAACATATTATATTATACCTTATGGGATCGGGCTGCACGCCGCAGCAATATATTGATTATATTTTATGGGATTGGGTTGCACGCCACATCGATATAGCGCTTGGGCTGAAGGAGCCCCTCCGGAGTTTTCACACCCCTAGTGAGTGCAGTCGACTATATATATATATATTGTACAGTGCTGAGTGATTGAGTGTGCTGAGCATTGAGCATAGTGAGAGAGGATGCGAGACAGTGAGATTGTGTACTCTGAGAGTGTGAGTACATGATTCATCTCTAAGATACATGGCATTGGCATGCACACATGACATAGAGGCATAGAGATGCACTTTTCCTCATGCTCGTGGACCAATGAAAGTGAGGAGCAGAGGAGGTAAGAGGTATGTTTTTTTTTATTGTAGATGACTTCTCCAGGTATACATGGACTTTGTTTTTGGGATCTAAAGATTAAACCTTTGATGTTTTCTGTCTATTTGTCAGAATGATTCAACAGAAACTAGGGTGTAATGTATTAAGTATAAGAACATACCATGGAACTGAGTTTGAAAATTCCAAATTCCTTGAGTTCTATAACTCATATGGTATTGATCATAATTTTTCTGCACCTAGAACTCCACAAAAAATGGGATTGTAGAAAGAAAGAATAGATCCCTAGAAGACATGGGGAGGACCATGTTGATTGCTAGTGGACTGCCCAAATATTTGGGCTGAGACAGTCAATACTACCTATTACTTGCTGAACAGATGCATGGTCAGACCTATTCTTGAGAAAACTCCCTATGAGTTACTTCGAGGGAGAAAACCCAACATCACTCACCTGAGAGCATTTGGGTGCAAATGTTTTGTGCATAATAATGGTAAAGAAGCCCTAGGTAAGTTTGATGACAGAAGTGATGAGGGAATTTTCTTGGGTTACTCTCCACATAGTAAGGCCTATAAAGTTTTTAATAAAATAACTATGTGTGTAGAAGAAAATATTTATGTTATCTTTTCTGAATCTAACAATTTGGCTGAGAAAGGTCTGCAGGATGAAGACTATGATATTGGACTCACTAGTAATGGAATTCCTAAGGAATCTGAACCTCATTTTGAAGATGGATCCAGAGACCACAAGGAAATTGACAGTGATCATGAGGAACAAGAAGAAGAGAGAACTACTCTGACTGCTAACTAGACTGATGAAGCCATACCTACTGAACCTATTCCTTTGTGTCACTTCTTGGGTGAATCTTCTCTAGGTATACAGATCAGGCCATGGAAAATCAAAGTTCACATCCTCTTGAGAACATCATCTCTGATCCAAATGCAGGAGTGCAAATCAGGTCATCTCTGAGAAATCTATGTGCACTCATAACATTTCTCTCACAGGTTGAACCTAAGACCATCAAGGAAGCTCTAAAAGATCTATATTGGATTATAATCATGCAAGAGGAGCTAAATAAATTTGAAAGAAGCAAGGTCTGGCACTTGGTACAAATACCCAAGAACAAAACTGTCATAGGTACCAGATGGGTGTTCAGAAATAAGCTGGATGAACAAGGAAATATCACCAAGAATAAGGCCAGACTGGTGGTTCAGGGATATAATCAAGAGGAGGGCATTGACGATGATGAGACATTTTCACCTGTAGCCAGAATGAAAGTTAAAAGAATGTTGATAGCCTTTGCTGCAAACATGGAGTTCACCTTATATTAGATGGATGTAAAGAGTGCGTTCTTGAATGGTTATATGAAAGAGGAAGTGTTTGTTAAACAACCTCCTGGGTTTGAAAGTGAATAATTTCCTGACTATGTGTTCAAGTTAGATAAAGCCCTATATGGATTGAAACAGGCTCCATGAGCTTGATATGAAAGACTCTCAAAATTCCTCTTAACCAACAACTTTGTAAGAGGAAAGGTGGACAACACTCTATTTCTGAGGAGCAAAGGAAAGAATATTATGTTTGTGCAAGTATATGTGGATGACATTATCTTTAGGGCTACTAATGAAGCAATGTGCAAGGAATTTGCAGAGATGATGGGGAATGTGTTTGAAATGAGCATGATGGGTGAACTGAACTTCTTCCTAGGGCTGCAAATCAAGCAAACACCTATTGGGGCCAAGCCATGAAACATCAGCAGAAATACATAAAAAAACTGCTGAAAAAATTCAACATGGACTCCTCTAAGTCCATTTACATTCCCATTGCCATAGCAACGAAGCTGGACCTTGATGAAGAAGGAAACAATATTGAACAGAAACTATATAGATGAATGATTGGGTCACTGTTGTACCTCACAACAAGCAGACTTGATATTGTGTTTAGTGTGGGACTGTGTGAAAGATTTCAAGAAAATCCCAAGGAGTCTCACCTGAAGGCTGTCAAAAGGATACTATAATATCTCAAGGGGACTCCTGACATGTGCCTATGGTATCCCAGAGGGTGTAGCTTTGATCTAGTTGGTTATGCTGATGCTAACTATGCAGGGTTTCATGTTGACAGGAAAAACACTCCAGGAACAACTCATTTTTTAGGTTCTTATATGGTGTTTTGGGGAACAAAGAAGTAAAACTTAGTGGCCTTATCCACAGCTGAGGCTGAATATGTGGCAGCAACATCCTGCTGTGCTCAGTTGCTATGGATAAGACAATAGCTAAGGGACTATGGTATTTTTGTTGATTGTGTTCCCATTTTTTGTGACAACACTGGTGCTATAAACATTGCTAAAAATCCATGTCAACACAAGAAAACCAAGCACATTGACATTAGACACCACTTTCTCAGAGACAATGTTGAAAAAGGGAATATCTCAATTAACGTTTGTAAAACTGAAGATCAAATTGCAGATATGTTTACTAAAGCTCTAGGTAGGGATCACTTTGTACGGAACAGACTAGACTAGGTCTAATCAATACTTCCAACTAGTTGAACCCCAATGATTGGCTAGAAAAAGTATAATTAGATATTGATAGTCAAGTACAATGTGTTTGATTCAGACTCATGCTTATATTAAGCACTCTCACCTACTTAGAAAAATCTGGCTGATAACTATGTTGTATAATACTAATGTGTAGTGCTGAAGCTTTATTGCAGAAACAAGTAAGGAGTTAGTTCTTTGACTCAAGTATGTGCCATCTTGTCTTAATTCACTGGGACTTAATATCCTAAATTATTTCTATGCTCAGACTTCTAATCCTGTTAGCATCATTTATAGTTGTCATTTAGTCAAAGAAAAAGGGGGAATCCTAGAGCAATTAAAGTTTAATTACTCCTAAAATCCTAACAGTCAAAGTAACCGTTATAAGAGTCCCGTTAGAACTCAAACTCAGTCACCCTCTCTCTTCTAGTCAAATCAGGAGTAACGTCTTTAAAAGCCCCATATGATTATCTTCTCAGACCTTACTGTTTCTCTAAAACCCTAAGCAAGAATCAAGAAATAATTCTCTCTTCTCCCTTCATCGATTTTCTTCTCTGATCATCATGCCTAAATCTAGCCAAACCCCTTCTAAAGCCAAATCATCATCCAAGACTGAAGCCAAATCCAAGAACATGAAGCCCAAATCAAAGAAAAGTGTCAAACCATCAAGTGAACCCGCACCAACACCTGCTCCTTCTCCATCGATATCCTCAATGGTACCTACACCATTATCCCCTGTTCCTTTTGCTCTCACCATCCCCACCTCCACTGCACCTTCACTACCAAAACCAACCACCCATGCATCTGTGCCTACTTAGAAAAATACCTCTAAGTCAACCAAGACCAAGGCTACTCCAAGAAAATCTATCAAGAATGTCAAGGTAGTGCCTGATGCTACTGCTCAAGTAGACACAGTGGTCAAAGAAGCTATGGTTCAAGGGGAATCAATGTTAGTTACTACAAGTCAGGTATAACTCCCTCCTTCAAAATTAGATGTTCTGGTATCCACTATAGATGTTGCAACCTTAGACACTCTTCTACCCACAAGTGATAAACCACAAGTGGAGGAACTCACTGTAGAAAAGAGTGCAGAAGATCTGGATAAAGAGGTAGATACCACTAGTGTGGTACTTGTGGTTGAGGGGGATGGGAGTAAAGAACCAATGCAAAAGGAGGCATTTGATGGTTTTTCATTCAGTTGGACGGAGGACGAGGATGATAATGGGGGTAAAAAGGAAGAAAGAGTTGTGGGCAGTCATGAGGAACATACCACTCAGGACATAGCTAATAAAGAGGAAAACAGTGAGAATAATGGAGATTTTGGTGAAGAGAAGGAGAGTGAGATAGATGATAGGATAGGTGAACAAGTGAATGGTTCTACAGAATAAAAAAATAATAGTAAAGAAAAGGGTAATTCTGAGAGTGAAGGTGAGGATAAAGAAAAGGAAAGTGAGAGTGAAGGAGTGGACGAATAAAGTGAGGAAGAGAATGAGAATATGAGTGAGGGATCTGAATGCTCTATGACCATTGGGAACATTGTCATAGCTCTTTCAGAAGAAGCAAGTGGAAAGAAAAGGACTGAAGAACCTGAGCCCTTGTTAACTCCTTTCATTGGAGATGATGAGATCAGCAGTGATGAAGATGACTTGCCCTTGTCTGAGGTAGGGAAGAAACCCAGGAAGACTCATGGGAAAGCAACAAAGTCTACAGTCCCAACAAGAAAAGAAGTGGTTCCTCCTGCTAGGACTCCTCTTACAAGGAGTAAAAGAAAGGATGTTGATGAACAAATCATTAAGGAGTCCAGAGGTGCCAAGAATCCAAGAAAGCAAGTTTTAATTGTGAAACCTGTGGTTGAGTTGGATGGAGAAAATGACTCTGAATCGGCTTTGCCAGAAAAGTCCTCTACACAAAAGAGAAAGATTGCCAAAACTACAAAAACTGCTACCCCATCTGCAAGGGCCAGTAGAGGAAAGAAGAAAAAGAATATTCCAGATGTGGTTGATAAACTCACAGAGTTTAGAAACAGAAAAGTGCTTAATGGGAAGATTCTTGCAAACACTGATAAAAAAGGGATGTCTTAACTGATTGAAAAACTTAAGCTACAGAGATAAAACACATGTTTGTCAAAGCTTCCCCCCTGTATTTGCTCATGTTGTGGTGGAGTTCTATGCAAACTTCCAATTTGATGGAAAGGTGGTCAAATGTAAGGTAAGGGATTTGAAATGGAGTTTGATGTTGAGGAGCTGGGGATGCTTCTGAATATTTCCTTTTTAGGATTTGACAATTACCTGAAGAAAAAGTGGCCAGCCATAGAAAATGATGTTGACACTGGAATTATGGTCACAAGGAAGTTCTCCCAAAAGTTTGAACTGGATGCTTCCTAGAAGGTGTACAAGACTGATATGACCCCCTTCTATAAGTTGTTGTTTCACTTTGTCAATTCCTGTGTTCTGCAGAGGTCTGAGAGAAAGCATGAAGCTACCCTGTTGGACATGGCTGTAATGGAACTCCTTGACACTAGTAGACCTATTAATCTCCCTAGCCTAATGATTCGGCATATGGCAAGAGCTGAAGACACTTCCAAGCCTAAGCATGCTATGCCTTATCGTTTCATATTGACTGAGTTGTTTGACAAGCTCAACATTGCCTTGCCTGAGCTTAAGTATGGAAATCACAATGATGTTTTGGATATTTTTACCCTCAAGCAGTGTGGCTATGAGGAGATCAAGGTTAGGGGATCAACAGGGTCTGCTATTCTACCTGGAAGTAGTAGGGCAACAAAGCTCAGTAAGAAGCTGGAGTTGGTTGTTGAAGAGAATGCCAAGCTTCGTGAAGACAATGAGCTGAAAAAAGAAATCAGGCAGCTTAGGGAAGAGCTCAAAAGAGATAGAGAATCCCATGCCCGATAGATTGCCACTCTTGTGAAAGCATTGACCCCCTCTACCTCTCACCTATAAACCTTTTCCTTCCCAGTGTCCTTAGTTTCCTTTGCTATCCCAGTGATGCTTTAATTTGTTTTTCCTTTCCTTTCTAGTCTGAGTAGCTTGCAGTATATTTAGTTTGTTTTGTTCTAATGGTTTAAGACAAGACCCTGGGATTCTTTTGGCATTACTAAATGACTTCTCTTATAATGTTTTAATACTTTGTACAGTATTGGATCATCAGTCTAGTCTGTTTTGCCTTGATAGTTCTTGAGCTTGTGTTGTAGCCTATATGGTCTTGAATCTTACATTTACTCTGCTTCATATACCTAACATCTTTTTATTTTTTTCGATGATGTCATAAGGAGGAAGATAAGGT